GGCACCTTGAAGGGAAAGTAATCCAGAACTGACCCTGCTTTCTCATCCTTGAGGCCTTTTATCTCTAAAAGGCTCCCCCCCCATCTCAAGTCTGGGAGTCTGTTTTCAGGGTATAGTGATCAGATTTACAGGACTATTGAATCATAATTGAGTCAACTTCATGCTGTGGGTCTAAACAATCTCTAATCAAATTCTACCATGCAAATTAATTATAGGAAACTCTTGTGGCCTTTGTAGGTGATATTTTGTCTTTGAACATTTACCTACACATTTCTATGTCTTCAGTTTATAGGATCTTCTTCAGGGAACCAAGGGCAGAGTTTGAGAATGAAACGAAAGAACTTCTCTAAGCACCGTAGCAATGCATTACAAATAAATAAATAAATAAATAAATAAATAAATAAATAAATAAATAAATAAATAAATAAATAAATAAATAAATAAATAAATAAATAAATAAAACAGAGAGAAAGAAGGGAAGGAATCTAAGACAGTGGTCCTCTGCCTTCCTAATGCTGAGACCCTTTAATACAGGTCTTCACGTTGTGTGAGCCCAGCCATAAAGCTATTTTTGTTGCTCCGTCACAACTGTAATTTTCTCCTGTTATGAATCTTATTGTGAATATTTGTGTTTTCCAATGGTCTTAGGCAGAGTTGTTCAACTCATAGGGGTCCTGACCTGTAGATTGAGAATCTCTGATCTAAAGGAAAAACTGTGCTCTTAAAGATTCTGCTATCCCAGGGCTGCAGAGATGGCTCAGAGGTTAAGAGCACTGGGCTGTTCTTCCAGAGGTCCAGAGTTCAAATCCCAGCACCTACATGGTGGCTCACAACCATCTGTAATGAGACCTGGGGCCCTCTTCTGGTGAGCAGGCATACATGGAGGCGGAACACTGTGTACATGATAAATAAATACATCTTCAGAGAGAGAGAGAGAGAGAGAGAGAGAGAGAGAGAGAGAGAGAGAGAGAGAGAGAGAGAAAATTCTTCCATGATTTACTCTGATGCTTGAGCTTCCTCTTCCAGGCTGACCTCTTTTATTTATCTATGTATCATGGCAGCACTTCTTCTTTCTGTTTGGATGCCATTTTGACCTGGACCAGCAGGTCATTCTCCTTAGTGAGAGGACCAGGAGGTCAGAAGATAAGGAGATAGAAGACAGAGACGATAAAGGTTGAAGTCAGGAGGTCTTACTCAAGCTATGTCTTATGCCAAGTAAACTCTTAAGAAGTACAGCACCTTATACACTCTTTCCGGGAGAGAAATGGGGCAGTCAGAGCAGCCTCTCATACAGTGGGACAAAGTCAGCAGGAGGTAATCAAGCAATGTCCACAAAGGGAACACAGGGTACTTCAGAGCATTACAGATGAAGTACACAGCAGCCACGGGCCTGATAATTCCAGTCTCTTCAGGAGGAAAAGCCAAGTTCCCAGGAACTGAAACCTTAATTCCTCTGAGGATCCAGCCCGAGCCCCAGACTGGCCTTGCCAAGTCTAATGTGAGCAAGGACATCGAGCTAGGTTCTTTTGTCCTTTCATTGGGACCCCTGAGAAAGCCCTGGATTGGTTAACAGCACAGCAGTTAAGTGTTTGCTAGATGTGCGTGATTTCAGGGCTGACCACTCCATACAGGATCCAGTTGGTATGCTCTTCCCTGGGGAAGACAGTTTCTCCCACTCTCGGCCTCCTTCCTGCAGCTCTTTCCCTGGGGTGGAGGTCCCATGAGCCTTCCCTAACATTATACAGACTGAGCAAATTATCTATATAATTTATATACATATATATATATATATATATATATATATACACAAATATGTGTATAATAACAAAGTAATAGGTACCATGAACTTGAGCGAGAACAAGAGAGAAAGTGTATGACATGGGATGGGTTGGCTGAAGGAAAGGGCAGGGAGGAATGGTAGAATTACACTGTGATTTCAAATTTTAAGAAGAAACAACAAAAAGCATTGGCTGCTCTTGCAAGAGACCTGGTTTCTGTTCCAGGTACACACATGGTGCCTTACAGCCATCTAGAAGTACAGTTTGGCTGCAGTGAGCAGGCTTGCTCGTGGTGCATATATATATACATGCAAACAAGCACTAATGCACATAAAATAAAAAGAGACAAATCTGTAAAAAGTAAAATTTGGGCTAGAGAATTGCCTCCAAGGTTAAGAGTATTGATTACTCGCCCAAAGGACCTGGGTTCAATTTCCAGAACCCACATCATGGCTTACAAATGTCTGTAACTCCAATTCCAGAGATCAAACACCTTTTTTCTGGCGTCCAGAGCCACCAAGTATGCAAATAATACACATATATACATGCAGGAAAAACACACAAACATGCAATATAATAATATTTTAAAAAATTAAAACAAAAATAAAATAATCTAGTTCACCAGACATTTAGGGGGAAGTGGAACAATTAATCAAATTCTTGCAAACATGAGAACATGAATTATGCCAGTCCAAAATTACCTCCCTCTTCTTCAATGACTCAAGATCATCCAGTTTTCTCTGGTTACAATGCTTAGGTCTTAATGGACAGGGAGACCAGGCACATGACCACCAACTCGGTGTTTTAAATGTCACTCTGTGAGCTGATTGTGATGGTTATCAGATGTGACCACTGTGGCGTCAGAACCTGGTCAAAAATCAGTATAGGAAGTTTTCAGGGAATGCACATGCTTAGAAAGGGCCATGGCTGAGGAGCCTGTATACAGTCCACTTCCATTCGATGACAGCCTGTGACTGTGACCATATACAGGAGAAGCTAATAAACAGGAAACTGCTTCTGTCCCATTGACTACACTGAGATTTTAATTATGTGTTTTACATTTGTCATAATTAGAACTGCTTTTAAGTAAAATATTTTTCTCTTGCACAGGACATACATGATCTGAGAATCTTTTCTTTCCTGAAATAGAATTGCTATATGCCTGTTTTCAGCAAACAGGGTGTAGCAATAGCTTTGGCCCTGTAAATAAGATGAGCTGAAGACAAAATGATTTATGAACTGAGCTAACAAAGGGCTCTGCATGGGATTTTCTTAAACTAATAATATGGCTGCCAAAGATGACATGCCAGGTGCTTCAGTCCTTTCAAAGACCAAACCATGTTGAGAAATCACTTTACAACTTTAAATACACTACACAGATACAATACCAGAAGAAGGTATATTTAATGTGCCAAACATATCCACTTGTCTCGCAAATCCTGTGTTTCATTCCATCATGATTCCATTTCCCAATGGCATATTTATCAGATCATTTTATATGAACTGTTCCATCATTTAATTTTATTCATGTAGTCTTGTTTACGGGTGCCCACCCAATTCCTCCTTCTGCATGTAGCTCTATCATCTCTAAGTGTCACCATCATGCTGTTTCCTCCAAAAATCAAAGGGAATATCCTCTTTAAAAATGTTTGTCCATGTAGTACAGAGAAAAAATGTACAGATGCACAGAGGCTGTTTAGCATAAAAACTTGCGGTGCAGATGTACTGCATAAGGTATGTGTGTGCTTTCTCTAAGGTTACATTGGATGGTCTGCAAATGCTGTTCTGTTCTCTTCTCTCCTCCTTCCTCCTGTCTAACAGCCGACAAACCCAGGGAGCCTTGAGTGAATCCGATGACCCCGAGACAGGCTGTCTAACTGATAACAAGCCGACTTCTCGACACTTCTACCCTGTCGCCTTGCTTCTCGTCAGCTCTCACCTGCTCGTTGTGTGGCTTATTTTAAGTCTTGCATTACTCCTAGCCAAATACCAATAAATTTTATGCTGTGTTCTTTCCTTTTCTACAAACGACAATGGACTTTAATTCTGGGGACAATGTTGTAATATTTCTACACTTTCAGATTCACAGAATTTAAACAACAACAAAAAGGAAATGTTTGAATTGTGGTTTTGTTTGTTTTTCCTAAATCCTAAAAGGCAGAAGTACTATGCATTAAGTGAATTATTTTGCTCTTTTGTTCACCAAAAAGTGTTTTCCCACTGTTAAGTAGCTAAAGATGTGTTTTAAAATTACTGTCTTTGGAACAAGACAAAAAATAGAATCCTGAAAGCTTGAAGTTCTGAACCTCCCCTTCCCATTTCATTTATTAGAGAAATTAGGACTGACATTGTGCACCAGTAAAACCCCGAGACAATCTGGGAAGCAGGAGGTTACAGACTTTCTTTCCACTGTGCTAACATAGTTGCGATCAGCTGATAGAAATGTGTCCGTTTTCTTACTCTGTTCCTCCTTGGCTCTTATTCATCGCTGCTTTTAACCTTCTTGTGTCAAGTAACTTTATGGAAAGAACGGCTATTTATGTTTTGTAATTAAATTGACCTGTTTGTAACTATGGTTTGGGTTGGTTTGGCTTTCAGACTACTTTTCTATTCTTTTTAACAAGGTCTCATCTGTGTCTTGCTGCGCCATTTTTAGCACCTGTGACTTTTGTACCGTGGTTGAGGAGCGCTCCTCTTTTGTGAAGCTGGCGTTTGGAGCAGGCTGCCGAGAAAGCCATCTGCTCTCTTCACTGCATAGCTAAAACAACAGAGTCAAATAGGAACGGAACCTCCTTTAAAAAATCTATAGGGCCAGACTTAATAAATTAAATGCCTTATTCCTAGAGCTGCATCCTTAGGGCTACATGTAGATTTTAATGTGTTTTAAGGGACCGGTAGTTAATTTGTGGAAAAGTTATACAAAGGCAGATATATTTATGAAACTAAAGTATAGCTGTATTGTGGAGCAAATTATATTTAAAGAGTTTATCAAAAGTTAAATATCTGTTAAGAAACTTAATCAAATCTTTCCGAAGGCAATAATGGTATTGAGCCTGGCCTAGGATTTAATTTTGTAAGATGTATCATCACTTGTGGGGAAAACAATGTAGAGTTGAATCTTTATTATTTTTACTTGGACTGTTGCTGCAACTCTGCATTGAACAAATAAAGCGTATTTCTTTATTCTGTGTTTCATGAAGTTGTACTTTTCCCTTTCACCAGAGAAGGATGCCGCATAGAGAATGTCCTGAAGAATATCAAATGCAGAAGGTATGCTTTCAACATGCTCCAGCTGATGGCTTTCCCCAAGTGCTACCGACCTCCAGAAGGCACTTATGGAAAAGCTGACACCTAAGTGTACCAACATGGAAACAAACAGGAACACAGACACATTGTGGACGATCTCCACCTCTGTCTTTTTTGTTTTATGTTGTTATGAGTTTGTGGGATGAGGCGTTGTGGGTGTTGCTCATACCAAAACCAATACTTCACTCTGAAAGTGACCCCTTACCGCTGTGTTCTGTCTATCTGCTCTCCCTTGTGTTAACTCTCACTGGTTGAGGTTAGTTCAGAAAATGCAATTCTGTTTGAAGTGTATTTAAATAAACCATGTCCTGAGGAAACAAGGTTGTTCCCATGGTGCCAGAGGTAACTCAGAGAATGCCACACTCCATCTAAGCTGTAGAGAGGAGCTAGTAAAGGTACTGAGTTCACGTGACAATAGTTCGTACTCTTGACTCCAGACAACCTCACAGCCTAGCTTACAGGGCTTTAGAAAACATGTATAGTAAATGCAATTAGGTAATGGTGACCCTTGCCCTTGATTACTGACATGGTTTGCAGATATGTTTGCACACATCTTTGTCACCCAACTCAGATGTGATTCCACCTTCTAAGCCGTATATGAAAGTGTGATTACAGCCAGGAGCTATAACACAAACTATGGATCTTTGAAGAACTTTAATATGGGTTGAGAAACCCACCTAGGGATAGAGCAGCATAGAACCTTTATCTGTGTCCTGGGAAAACGTTTTAAGGAACTAAAATTTCAAAGAAATTTAAGAATGGTGTCTGTTGGTGCCCAAAATGAAAATCCTCAGCAGCTTGAATTTCCTTTGGAAGAATTCACAGAAGTGAGAGACATATCTGTAAGGTGTTCCCTGGCAGTCCTCTTGGTGTGTGAGTTTGCAGTCTATCATAGGTCAACATATGTAAAGTGGAGAACCCTATAACATACATGAGCCATAAACAGTGATACATTTACACAGTATTTTTCAGTTAATCGAGATTTCAAATTTGTCCTTATTGTAAAATACCACCATATGTAAAATCACTAACATTCCAGGTTAGTGGTTTTCTTAGAGGCTGACCACATTGTGTAAGACCATCATTCAAAAAAGTGGGTAAATTAAGGCAGGTCACTTAGATGACTGCAGAAGAGCAATTATGACCACCCTTACCATCTAACTTTTTTAAACTTCCTAACCTGTGACTTCTGTCTTCTGCGGATTGCTACACTATGTATGAAAATACACAGAGGAGGAGAGTCAAATAGAAATAAGGTTTTATCACTTGATTTGACGCTTAGTAAAGTGATATGAAAAAAAAACCCTGCATTTTTCCCATTTCCACCTGTGGGAAGTGCTGTCCAAAGCTGCGTCTCCTCTGAGGACACTAGAGGTTTCCTCCACAGACACCTCTCGGTCGTCACTTCATTCAAGGGGCAGTATTTTATGTCTTCACAGGTAACATGAGAGTCCTTTGCCTAAGATGCTTGCTGTAAAGGAGTTTTAGGTAGATCTCTAATCCCATGTTGAGTTTTTCAAAAGTCTGAGAACAGCCGATGACCCCCTGAGGCTTCTATATGCAACTACTCATTTCTTATTTTAGCTAACAGCCTGTGGCTGTTGCCAAAGCAGTTGCCAAACTATTTGTAGCCTTTAAAATGGAAAAAGTTGCATCTAATTATGGAAATAATTATCCTAGTGTTCTGAGAGCTAGTCTCCATTTCAGTGATTTAATGTAATCTGTTAATTGTTTGATTTTTAACTAGGTGGTAGGATTTGTGGTTATTCTCATTACTGTATTGAGTTTAAGATAGAAAGAGTTGTGATCACAGGGGTTTTGTGTCTAGCTCTGAGCTTTTCTTAGTGTCTTAAGTGGTGATATGCATCCCAGGACATCTTATATGATGTTTTTAGCTCATAAATATTTTATAAACAATAATAGTTTATATATTTTTATAGATTAACCATCTTAACTCAAATATTCTAAATATTTATCAACTGGAAAGCCAATAAGGTTTTCCAGTTTTGTATGACATTTCATAGGACATTTTTTTTCTTTGTCAACAAATGCTAGTACAGAAACATGAAAGGTAGACCTGTCTATACTGTACATGCAAACGAATTCTTAGTCATTGACAGCACTGTCATCATTTCCTATGGGAACAGAGGATGAGTAGAGGATCTCACCAAGAAAATCCTCATTTCCTATACATGATCACTCTTCTCCAAATGCACTCAGACAATCACTTCATGACTCATCATTACCAAGACCTTCAGAATCAGAGTTGCCCTTGTACAAACACAGGTGCTCATGCAGTTCTATCAGCCACTGTCATGCTGTGCTATCCACGTTTTCACTGAAAAGCTGTACCATGGCCATATCTAGGGAGAGCACATTGAGGCAAAGAATTTATCAAGAAAATGACATTTCTAAACAATGCGGTCTTCTTTCCCACAAATAAGATTTTCTCCTAATCTCATCAAATTCAAGTCTCAATTCTGGATTAACTATTTACAGAGCCCTAGCAGAAACATATTAAAAGTACAAAAAGACAAAGCCATGATTATTACCCAAAGGTCCAGAGTGTGCACATGTGCTCTGGACAGTTAATTATATACTTGAAATATCTGATTGAAACAGGGCCATATTTGGGTACACCAGCTCACTGAATTCTCACCTCTGCTTTTCTTCCTAAATATTGCCTTGAGTTTACCCACACACTGCTTAAAACATCTTCTAGTTGCTAACATTTTGGTCAGTCTGGCAATGCAGCAGGGTCCTGGTAACTACATGATGTAGCTGATGAATTATATAAAATTAGGCCATGCCTCAGTCAGGGCCATGCTCCCTATGGCCACTAGCCACTCATAATACTAATGCTGACAAACCGTGAAGCCTTGAAAGCTGAGATTGACTGGATGATACACCCACCCTTTTGGTGGTTTTCATAAAGTAGAACTCAGAATGGTAAAGGGGAAAAATGAGTTATTTTTCTAATCAAATCAAATCCCTCTCTCTGTAAAGATACTGTGCCAAGAGACATTCTCTCGGTGTCAAAACTGGTGCTAGTTGACTCATGGGAAGTGATGGAGCTTTCAGGAATTGTCTAAGCTGGTTGCTGCACAGTGTCTGGCTAACCATAAGATATGAACTGAGTTTATTAAAAGTAAAGATTACAATCAAAGCTTATAACTTCCTGGCTTTTCTAAAACCAGATTTTTTTCTTTTTATTTATTCTTTTTTATTTAAATATTTTTCATTTTGCATACCAACCACTGTTCCTCCCTTCTCCCTTCCCTTCTCTCATCCCCCTCACACCCCCATCCCAACCCCATTCACTCCTCATAGGGGGTAAGGCCTCCCTTGGGTAGTCAACACAGGCTGGTATACCAAATTGGAGAAGGACTGAGCCCTTCCCCCATGCATCAAAGCTGAATAAGGCATTCCACCATAGGGAATGGGCTCTAGAAAGCCAGTTCATGTACCCGGGATAAGTCCTGGTCTCACTGCCACACAAGTGTCACCCACATTCAGAAGGCCTAGTTTGGTCCCATGCAGGTTCCCCAGCTGTCAGTCCAGAGTCTGTGAGTGCCCACTAGAGCAGGTCAGCTGTTTCTGGTTTTTCTCATCATGGTCTTGACCCTCCTTGCCCCAATGTAGTTGGCTCTGGTGGTTCTGCATTGTGCAAATGCTGTATTGATAATATGCAACTGTGAATCTCCTGAATCCACATTTAAGAACACAATGTTGGTATCTTGAAATCAGCCACTGTGGAAACATTTACACCTCAAAAACAGGCAAATGCTATAAACTAGAATATTTATAACATGAAATACCATTTGTTAAGCATTTATCAACCAGTACATGGCTCTGTGCCACTACAACTTTTTCTCCCTAAAATAACAAATTATTGGAGGGAGGTTATGATTATTAGAAAGGTTTTGAATGAATGTAGTCTTTAATCAGATTATTATAATTTTATGTTGAATTTTATCCGCTTTAAGGAAACTTGCATGTCTATATAGTAGAGTGGAAACATATTTTATTCATAATCGGTTATTTAATTAGAGAGACGAGTTTAAAAACTATCAATAATGTGCTGTAAGTGGCAAGATAGCCTTATTGTAAATCATACATCAGGACTAAAGTCAGGAGAATGTTAAGCTCATCATAATATCACTAAAATACACTCCATCTCAATTTCTAAAATGATGGTGATGGCATTGTAGAGAGGAAAACAGAATCATACCACTATGTCCGATGTTTACCAAACTGAACACAGTTGAAAACCAATCTGTTTGATTAAATACATTAGACTCTGGCAATATACTAAGACAACCATATATAGTTTTGTGATTCCCAAGTGGCATATCACTTTAGTTCAATATGAGGGTCACATTTTGTAATCTTTTGTGGACTAAATGAACTTTGGGGGGTGTTCAAGGCAGGGTTTCCCTTTTTAGTACATGTTTCAGAAACTTGAGAGACTGATCAGCAGTGTGGCTGGAAGCAAGCAGAGAGGGCACAACATCTCTACTATCTAGAAGCTGTATACAGTGTGCACTACCCACAAATGAACATGACATTTAATTTTCTGAACACTTGCATGATTGGTGGACAGGTTTAACACAAATTCGTGTTCATCTAGCCCACTTCCAATTGTTTAAGTTACGCTCCCATATTTATGACATTAGCTTTATTTAAGTAAGATGTCCTTGTGTAGTTTATCTTTTATTTCTCGGACAGCTTGAAATTAGAAGGTTTTTTTCATTTGCATCTTTCCACACAAAGATGCAAACTATAGCAAAAAACTGTCTTTAAAAATAGAAAGATAAAAATCAACATTTTAGATAAAATACAATGACAGTTAATATGGAATTAAGGAACAGGAATTTGTACTCTGTCTTTCTGAGCAGTGGGACATGTCAGTTTCTCTTTGAATTTTATTTCTAAGATTATAAAATACATAAATTATACTTCTGATTTAAGAAGACCAGAAAATGCTAACTAAAGAAGGGATGCATATAAGATGATATTAATCCCTCAAATGATGAATCCAATATGTACTCAGGCATATGTATTCAAAGAAAAAGAAGTCCAGACTTTAGCTCCAAAGAGCATGGGCATTAGTGTAAATGCAACTTGTAAAAATGCTTCTGTCTACAAGCTATGTGCTGTAGGTACACACCAGTATACTATATCCCTCAGTAAACAGTAGTATTTAAAAGAGGGAGGTATATACCATTCTGTACTGGAAGAATTTCTACAAACATTTAAAATTATTCCTATGTAACGAAAGAGCACAGTGTAACAGTATGTCTTTTACCATGACATTGTTCATCAGCAGGCTCTAGAGACTCAAATTTGGCCAATATGTCTATAATATCTACATAATTCTTGGAATTATTTGTGTCACTATCAACATCATAACCTATCTGTGTTGAAGAGCGCTCACACTTTTCAAAAGGCAGGGCTGTCCTTTATCGGCACAGGCCACCCTTTGTGCCCGTGTGTTCTCGGGTGAGCATTTTATCTTTTCATGTAATGCATTTTCAGAGTCTTGTGGTATTCATTTGAAAGGTCAGCACTTGCTTTCTTTTTATGTTAAATATATATCCTACATGAACCAATAATGTATATTCCCAGGAAATGAGCCACAAATAGATAGATCGTTTTATATTAGCATTTCAAGAAATATCACATTCGTTTTATTTTGTGTAATCATATTCATTGTTCACTGGTGTGTATATTTTTGTTGAAATAAATATGGTTTTATTTTTATGTTTCTGTCTTTTCTCCCCATTACACATTATTTTTTATATTTATCTGTGTAGCAACATTTAAACATTATTGAAAATAACAAAAGGATAGCACAATAACATTTTAAGGATAATAGACCTCACTTCTGCTAGACCACAATAGCAATACATGTTTTACATTGATGACTATTTAATCTAATTTTCCTGGCAGAGTGGGCTTCCATGGTCACCTTTATTAAGGGAAGCATCAAGCACAATCCCCAAACAGAGTCAAAAACAGCTGTGATGATTCTACACTAAGGAATCATCAGTAATTATTTAAAAATTTTAGATGATGGATAGATAGATGATAGATATGAGATAGATTGATGATGATAGACAGAATATAGATAGATAAGATAAGATAGGATAAGATGATAGGGTAGGGTAGATTTAACCCACTGAGTCCAATTAGTACTGCCCAATGTGTGTGTATAAGGTCATCCACCAGGGCACAGGCAACTTACTAGTGGCCACACTCTTAAAAAAAATATGATTCTCCCTCCACAAGTAGCCATCCTCTGCCAATAGCTCCCCAGCTGGGAGTGAGCAAATCATTAATCTTTGTTGTCTAGATTAAATGTAGAGTCATTTGAACATACCAAACTAATTCTTTTTCTTATAGACTTCTTCAAGCTGTTCGTTTGTGCTTCTTTAGAGCAGATAACAATAGAAGACAAATTCCAAAGACATTAATTTAGATCTTTTTGCAAAGGAATAAACGAAAGGGAGCCTCGGGGCATATGTGAAGAGTGAACTTTTACCATCTGGTGTGTTTCAGGAACATAGCTGATACAGCAGAGAGAGTATTCCTCTTCTGTGAGGTCATCATCATCAGGACGTGTTCTTATTAATAATGCATCTTTCTGTATCAGCACAGGAAAGGTGCTGGAGATAGATGTAATGTGAGATAGCCCACAGTAAATTGCAGTAAAATGCTGTTTACTAGAGAACTGGAGAATGGCCTTATGGAATAGTACTAAACATCCATGTATGGGCCCTTTGATTTTTACAAGGGAATGAAATCATCAGTCATGATAAGAATACCACAATGGACGCAGAGAGACTGTTCTGGGACACTATTTTGATTTGATTGGAGAGTGGATTCAGGAGGAAGTGTGGGTACAATTGCTGTTGGTCAAGCTAACACCTGTCTGTGCCAGTGTAGCAACCAAGACATGGTTCTGTGGCTCTGTCCACCTCTCCATTTACTAGCAAGCACCAAGTTCCCTCTTCTCTTAATTTTGATAAATAACCATGGATCAAGAAAAATTCTTTCAATAATCTTTAAGTCAAATAGTGAGAGATGGGGAAAGTCTATTGGAGTAGGACACTGGGAGATGACCCCATCCTGCTAACACCACACATACCTTCCTGTGCACGTGACTCTACTCTTCAATGTGGTCTCTAGTTTCAGAACTGTGAGCTGTGAAATAATCAGCTTCTTTGTCCTGGAAAGATGGCTTCTCCCCTCTTCATTTGGTCATAAACTTCAATCAGTCACCACATCCTTGGTGACAGTTCAACCCATCTGTAGTTTTATTCCTTTTTAAATGTCCTCAGTCCCAGTTACTCTGTATCTCCTGCCTTCTGTTTCCATTTCCTGCCTCTCACAAATACCCTAAATTCTAGGTGAATTCTTCATCTTTGCTCAATTTGCTCTCCCTTCAGGTTCACAGCTACTGTTTCCAAGGAGAAAGCTCTAGCACAAAGCTAAGGAATGTGCATTTCTGAGTAGCTGTACCTAGAGAGAAGCCATCAGTCCCCTGTTCATTAGATGAGGGCGTATGTCAAGTTACTGAATGTTTCTGTGTCTTCACATTCTTACATATCTGTAACATGAGGGCAATAACACGGCTTACTACTTGGTGAAGCATAAGAAAAGCATGTGTACCTGTATGGTCCCGACAGCAGTGGCTCTGGGGCAGAGATCTACTCCTTTTCTGTCACTCAAAATCCCAGCCTCATTATGTTTTACACCCCTGCAGCCCACGTACCTGAAATACAGGGGCTAAAACCTAAAATCTCATCACTTCCACATGTTTGCTGTGGAAGCTCAGGATACTATAAAAGTTCTGTGAGCAGTGTCCACCATCTCTACCCCACAGAGAAGGCAGCAAGAGCAGGAGGCATGGCTTCTCTGCACCTGTGTGGACACACAGGCAAGCCTGAGTAGGTTCCTTCATCTATGCTCAACTCCCCAGCTCCCCGCATGGGGTGCCTATGATGTCAGTGTTGGCAGAAGGCACCAAACAACATTCTCCTGACTGCAAAGTGACAATGGTAGCTCCTGATAGCTACTTAGAGTCCTTGAAGCCACAACAATCCACGTACGATGGACAAATTCAAAGTCTGTCTTGATGATTTTATGCATATCTTATTCCCTTTATAAAATGTAGCATGCGATTTTCTGCTATAAATGATAATATTCTTTAAAATCAAACTCCTATTTCATTTTTTTGCTAGTTATCATATTTATCTTTTACATTTTGTAAGCTGTGTTTTGGTATTGTCTTTCAGGGTATCTGCTTTCTGTGAGTGGATCTACATGCTTTAAGATGTTCATAACTGCCTTGTTCTCACCCGGTTTATGCACAGCCCTCCTGTCCTGTCTGTTCAAGGGATCAGTGTAGTAGTCACAAAGACCTGTAAGCTTGAATTAGCTTTGACTCTTCCTTGTCTGTTGATGTGTGTTATCTTCTTTTTGTCACTAAGGTTGTAAATGTTACCACCACAGAGCCTTGAAAGCATGCCTCCCTCTTCCATTGCCAAAGGGATTTCTTTCAAATGCATTTTCCATTACCCTTTTAATTGTAGTTCCACCCCAAATAAGTGAAGTTTGTTATTTAATCATTTCTACAATTTGGCCTCACTTTCCCTTTAAGGGAAATCATTGACTTCCAAAATGGAGGTCATTGCATTAAGTGCAAATACAGACACACACATACACAAACATTTCGGGTTAAATAATTACACTTTTGATTCCAGAGAAATCTTTTTTATTTTTATTTATTTTATTTTTTTATTAAGAATTTTTTTCATTCATTTTATACACCAATCAAAGATTCCCCTCTCCCCTCCTCCTGCCCCCCTAGCCTCCCCCTCCTAACCCACACCCCACTCCCCCTCACAAGAAGGCAAGGCCTCCCATGGGGAGGCACATCCAGTAGAGGCAAGTCCAAGTCCTTCCCCTGGCCTCAAGGCTGCACAAGGTGTCCCATCATAGGTAGTGGGCTCCAAAAAGCCTGCTCATGCACCAGGGATGGATTCTGATCCTACTGCCAGGGGGCCCCCCAAGCAGATCAAGCTACACAACTGTCTCGCCATGCAGAAATGTGGTACATATACACAATGGAGTACTACTTAGCAGAAAAAAACAATGATACCATGAAATTTGCAGGCATATGGATAGAACTAGAAAATATCATCCTGAGTGAGGTAACCCAGCCTCAGAAGGACAAACATGGTATGAACTCACTCATAAGTAGATACTAGATGTAAAGCAAAGGTTAACCAGGGTACATCCCACATCTCCAGAGAAGCTAGCTAACAAGGAAGACCCAAAGAGGGACGCATGGATCGCCCTGAGAAGGAGAAATAGATGAGATCTCCAGGAGTAAACTGGGGATGAGGGGTGGGCAATGCAGGGTAGGGGATGGTGAATGAGAACATAGGGGAATGGGATGGTTGAGCTGGAACAGAGAAATCTTATAATATTCCTTCAAATAGAATCAATCTCATTTTGTTTTTAATTTTTATCTGTATCATACCTCATGTCCATTCCTTTATATATTTATTTAATATAAATTTATGGCACTAGGATCAAACCCAGATCCTCAGAAATGCCAGGGGAAGGGATTTCTCTGCTCCTCAGCCACATGTTGGGGGCCATTTGAAGGGACCGACAGGCAGCATTAGAACTCATGGGACATGACTGGATGGTTGGCAAAGCCATGCCTGAGTGAGCCTTGGGGATGCAAAGCCCCAGGACTGTTGTATCTTGAGGACCTCACGCTGTTACTGAGCATAGCTCCAGTTCTTGTCTTTGGTCACCACATCTCTCATAATTTATGGGTTGTATGAAAGCTCTCAGGGGTTTCTAGCCCCGCACTGTATGGTACTGGTACTTACAATAACAGTGATTGACTTTTTCGATTGCTGCTCGAGTAGCTTAATGATTCAACCACCACCCTTAGAAGGATTTTCAGGGTTAATGAGAATTGGAGAACGCAGGCAGCTGTTAGAGAGGGGTCCGGAAGTGACAGGAGGGGCCAAGAGGAAGGATGAGGAAGCAGAGGGGAAGTGACAGGAGGGGCCAAGAGGAAGGATGAGGAAGCAGAGAGGCTAGGTGTCTTGGAATAGCAGTTTCAATCAGGGACATCTCTAAGTGGACTGAATGGCTTTTCAGACAGAAATGTCCCTCTCCAGGTGATGGGGGCTGGTAGGGCGACTTGAAGCTTCCTGGCATGCTGGCTTTCATAGTAAAAATAAACCAAGCAGGAAGCTCCTGGTGACACTGACCCAGTAGGAGGAGTGACAAGTGGTTAGAGCATGAAGAGGGGAAAACAGCTGGAGAGATGAGCAAATAGAATGATCCAGAGTGCTAGGATTAAGGTGGATATTGGGGATCACCTTTTGGAATTTCCGGTTTAGTGTCAGGGGCCAGATATAGCAGGGCAGACCCTGTCAGCAAGGCTTTCTTTGTTAGTTGAAGTTGAGCAACCACTCCAAGTTATTTTCCCACACCCACCAAGCATTTTGCAATTAACTCTTTCTTTTCTTTCCCCAGTGAATCGTCCTGCTAATGGGCCTCACTTACAGTAGGCTAGTGGGCCTCACTTACAGTAGTGGTGGCAGCAAATTCCACCAGCCCCTTTTTACCTTTCTCAGGGGGTCCTGTGGAGTCATTTACAGTTAATTTAAGCTTTGCAGGGAAGGCCAACTAGGATAATGGTACTTTGCTACCTCTTTCTTAACTCTTGA